CTCTTTTAAATATCAGCTATTTGTTATAGAATCATAACCTTGGAATTCTGCTCACATCTAAGGCATCTTTGTTCTAGAATCATGTATCTATTATTAATAGATGTACATTATTTAACTATAGACAAACAGAAATAACTATAAGTTATGATCAAATTTGGGCAATAGTTCTAATTAGCAGAACTCAAAATTATTTGGGTACTCATTATTGAGTACTATTGACTGACCTTCAATAGTATTTTAATAATAATAGCCTGATAATTAGTTGTTTTTCTTTTCATACCATATTACATGCATATATTATCATTACCATTTCTATTACTTGAATTGTATATTGTGCCAACTTACTAAGTTTAAGAGTATCTGGAAGAAAGCATTGTTATGCTAAAAGTACATTTTAAAAATACATTTTAATTTTTAGATTTTTTTCCTCATACATAATTATTTAATTTATTCATTTTGCTTCATTCAACTAACCCTAGCTCCCTGTCCCCAGTAACTATCTAAGTAGAGCATAGTGTCCTCTTCTGCCCATTCCTGCCACATCTCCTTTTCCTCAATGCGGAGAGGAAGAATCACAGAGTCTAGTTATTTGATGTTATTTTTGAGACTAAATGTGGGCCTATAGAATAATGATCAAATTGGAACAGTATGTAATAACTGTCTGAATTACCGGTCATCTTTATACTGTCTAAGCCATGAGACTAGTATTTCCTAGTATTTCCTCACATATTTTAACATTGCTTGACTGTGAATCATCTATATGGTGCCGCCATATAGATGATTCACAGTCAAGCAATGTTAAAATATGTGAGTCTTCTCCAACCTGGTACATACTATTTTCTGTAGCTATTATAACCTAACAATTTGTATGTATTTCATATCTGAAAGGAGGAAGTTGTGGTAGGATAACTAGAAATACAAAACCAGTCAATCAGATTATTAATGAACAAGAAATACAGAAACATATGTAACCAGTTGTCATTCATCCATCTACCTCTATCCAACAATCCAGTCACCCATTCATTTATTCAACATATATTTTCACATAATAGGTATCATGCTACACTCTAAAAACAAAGGTGAAAAAACTGGTCCCTGTCCTCAAGGAGATGATAGTCTAGAAGCAGACAAATGAAGATTTTCCAGGGGTTTGGTTAGAGCCAGGGCACAGGAATGTATGAAGCGTAATGGAAACACAGATGAGGGCTGTCTACCTCAGCCTGGGTGTCCAGAGTGAGCAGAGATCAGGAAAGATGTCCCTTGATTTAGAGATGTTTGAGAGAATTGTTAAGTATGACAAGGAGTTACCAGTACACTTTCTAAGTGAACAGAAGAGGTATGCATTGAGGAGGAACTAGCATAGGCAAAAGCCCACAAGTATGAGAGAATATGATTAGTTAGAGGAACTTTACGTAATTCTGGACAAGAAGACAAGGGTGTGCTGGGGCAGGAGTGACGTGAAGGGGACAAGAGATCATTCTAGAGAGCAAATCAGGATCTAATTGTGAAAAGCCTTGTAAATGAAATGAAGAATTTTGGATCGTTTCCAGAAAATGAGGGGAACCGTCAAAGGCTTCAGTTTGGTTTGCCCAGAACAACTGCCAAGAATACATGGCCTTTGCAGCTACTTCTTCATTTTACAGATTTGTGAGCAGATAGCAGTCTAAGCATTCAGCTCCCCCATGTTTATTTGCATGTCTGAAGCCTAATGAAATGTTAGTTCAAGTAAATCATCCCAGCGATTCTGATGGTGTGAAGATGCCCCTCCAGGATCCAGGAACCAAGTCTTGTGGTCAAGTTCTATTATTCCCCAGACTTTCCTCATACATCCTTGGACAGTTTCTCCCACCATCACTTGGTCTTGACAACCACTGATCTGTTTCCTTTTGCTATATTTTGCTTTTTCTAAAATGTCATGAATAAAACTGAGCACTATATAGTCTTTCAATCTGCCTTTTTAAAAAAGATTTTATTTATTTATTCATGAGAGACACACAGAGAGGGGCAGAGATATAGGCAGAGGGAGAAGCAGGCTCCCTTGGGGGAGCCGGATGGGGACTCGATCCCTGGACTCCAGGATCACACCCTGGGCCAAAGGCAGGTGCTAAACCGCTGAGCCATCCAGGGACCCCAACCTGCACTATTTTCTGAGTTGTACTTTTAAATGAGCTTCTGTTTATTGTGTTCCATACATAACTCAACAAAGCATCCTTAGTAATGCAGAGGCAGCTTTAAAAATTTAAACAACCCATTTGCTTCTTTCTTTTTATACTTGTCCATACTATACTTATTCTTTCCTCTGGTTTTAACAGATAAACTCCCCTTGGAAAAAAAAAAAAAGGAATGAATGTCTTTACTGATTACATCTGCCTTATTCTATTTGAAAGCAACTTGCTAGCAGTCATCTAGAATGACTAATAAAGTGCTAAGCTTTTTTCCCATTATTTCATAATAAAATCATTGAAAATATTGCAGCAATTGTGGAAACTAGTCATACTCTAGTCCTTCTTTGAAAGTTTACCAAGGTCCTTAATGCCTAGTAATTCTGTAAGCATGTAGCATATACCATAAACCACAAACCACAATTATTTAGACATCAGCTTTGGTAACCCTGCCATTCTGCTTGGAATTCCATTTGGATTCTTTTGGAATTATGGACATAATATCTTGCTTTATTTACTAAGTGTACTAGCCCCAGACTAGACTCTAAGCAGTGAGCAAATTGAACTAAGTAAGGAAGTGACAAGTTTCTGTGTATCATAATACTTGGAGTAAATGATTTTTTCTTTTCAGGATTGCCAAAATTGCTGAGTCATTTGGGAAACATGATTAAAGAGTTGGAATACAAGTTCTTTATTAAAAAAAAAAAAAGAAGAAGAAGAAGCAATGGGACAATATTAACCAGAGAAGAAAAAGCTATGGGGAGTTTTTTCATGGTCTTCAATCATCCAACAAATAATTTTGTCAGGCACTGGGACCAGATTAGTTGCTGGGGATAAAGTATCAAGCATACAAAGTTCAAGTTCTTCTGGTGGAACCATGGAGGGAACAGAAAGTATACAAGCAACAAAACATATCAGGACTCATTGTTCAGAAGAATATCCAGCATCTTTTATTTTTGGCTAGAGCCCAAAGTAAAAATAGGTTTGCTCTATAGAGTAGGAAAGAAACTCCTTTCACAAGGAGAGTATGTCAGGGTTACCTAAGGAGGAAAAGAAGCAAAGAGATGAACTTTACTGAAACTGCTATGTGGCCTTCTAAGCTGGATACTTTCTCACATATCTTATCCCATTTTACAGTCATAACATGCCCTGTGATCCCCTTTTATGATCCCCACTTTACAGATAACTAAGGGTTAATTACTTGCTTCAGGGCACACATCTCATTACTGTAGAGTTAGGGTTGATTCTCTTGGCCTCACGGGCCACTTGTTTTCTGGTGCGCTGTCTTGACTGTATTGCCATGCTAAATTTTTAAAAGTAGTTCCTTGCTTAAAAGTAAAGAACAAGACTATCTGGATGGCTCTCACATCTTTTTTAAAGGAGAAAAATCTAGTTTCTTAAACAAAACTTTATGTGGAGCCCCAATATATGAAACAGATTGGAGTAGAGCAGCCCTGTTGGATTTGGGGTGCATTAAGAGGCTCAGCCAACCTTCTGATGAATCCCCCTCAATGACTAAGCTCCGCTGTTAACCAGGAACTTTCTCCTTGCCCAGTAATAGACATTTTAAAACAGTTGTTAAGAAATAAAGTGAATAAAGGGAGTATTTATAGAAGTGAAGAAAAGAGGAAACAGAAAGGGGTAGGTCATGAGATTCGCCTCATCCCTGCAGGGTGGAACTCTTTAGATGTTTATTTTAAAAATGGGATGAATAGGGGTGCAAGGCTGGCTCACTGGGAGAAGCGTGTGACTCTTGATCTCAGGGTCATCATTTTGTGGCTCATTTTGGGTGCAGAGATGACTAAAAAAATTAAAAAAATAAACTTTAAAAAATGGGATGAATAAAATGGATATTATGGGGTTAAAACAATTTAATACAGCACTACCTAATGTTAGGTGGGCCAAAGGGACTCCTTACTGCTCTCCCAACATTAAAGGGCTCCAAACAAGTTCACTCTACCCCTGTTTAGAGAAAGTGAGAAGGCAGGGGTTGCAAGGAGAAATCTGGTGGCAACAGTAGGCCAATTAATCAAGTTAAGGAGTCACCAAATGGCCTGGGCCCCTTGTTCAACTCCTCGCTGGAGACCCAAAGCCTTATTCAGAAATCCCATAGACTGTAGTCCAAAAACTCACTGGCGATACCGTGACTCGGGCTATGATTAGTTCTGAGAGCACATAAAAATGTAAGGGTCAATAAGATTATGAAAACTAGAATGTTGAATCAGATTTTGATCAGCTTATTGCTGCTCTTAGGAGGAAACTAACCAGTGTTTTCACCATTAAGTATGATGTTTGCTAGATTTTCATAAATGCTCTTAATCAGATTGAGAAGATTTCCATGTATTGCTAGTTTGCTGAGTGCTTTTTGTCATAAAGGAGTGTCAGATTTTTTTTTTAAGATTTTATTTATTTATTTACAGATTGAGAGAAACCACAAGCAGGCAGAGGCAGAGGGAGAAGTAGGCTTACCACCAAGCAGGGAGCTGGACGACTTGGGACTCAGTCCCAGGACCCAGGGATTGTGACCTGAGCCAAAGGCAGAGGCTTTTGACCACCCAGTTGCCTGGGATGTCAGATTTTAACAAATGCTATTTCTTCCATCTGTTGAGGTAGACATGGGTTTTTCTTTGTTATTAATATGGTGTATTACATTAATTGATTTTAAGGGGATGTTAAACCAACTTTACATTCCTGGAATAAATTCCACTTAGTCATGTGTATATTTCTTTTCATATGTTGCTGGATGTAATTTGCTATATTTTGTTGAAGATTTCTTTCTTTTTTTTTTTTTAAGATTTTCTTTATTCGTGAGACACACACAGAGAGAAGCAGAGACACAGGCGGAGGGAGAAGCAGGCTCCTCACGGAGAGCCTGATGCAGGACTCAATCCCCAGACCCCGGGATCACACCCTGAGCTGAAGGCAGATGCCCAACCGCAGAGCCACCCAGGCGTCCTTTGTTGAGGATTTCTGTGTCTATGGTCAGATATTGGCTTTTCCATACTTGTGATCTTTGTCTGGTTTTGGTGTCTGATTAATGCTAACCTCATAGAATGAGGTGGGCAATGTTCCCTCCTCTTCTTTATGGAAGTGTTTGTAAATAATCATTATTAATTCTTCTTTAAATATTTGGTAGAATTTACCAGTGAAACCATTTGGTCCTAGGTTTTTTGGGGGAGAAGGGGAGGGTAGCTTTTGATTACTGATTGATTCAATCTTTTAAATTTTACAGATATATTCATATTGCCTATTTCTCCTTGAATCAGCTTTAGTGCTTCATCTTTCTATGAATTTGTCTATTTTATCTAAGTGATCTAATTTCTTTGCATATAATTGTTCATAGTACTCTTTTTTAAGTCTCTTTATTTCTGTATGGTCAGTCATAACGTCCTCTTTTATTACTGATTCTTTTTCTTTCCTTCCCTTTTCTTTTCTTTCTTTTGTCTTTTTCTTTTCTTTCTTTCTTTCTTTCTTTTTTTTTTGTGTGTGAGTCTAGGTGAAGATTTGTTAGTTTTTTTTTTTATTTTTTATTTTATTTTATTTTTTATTTTTACGATAGTCATACAGAGAGAGAGAGAGGCAGAGACACAGGCAGAGGGAGAAGCAGGCTCCATGCACAGGGAGCCTGACGTGGGATTCGATCCCGGGTCTCCAGGATCGCGCCCTGGGCCAAAGGCAGGCGCCAAACCGCTGCGCCATCCAGGGATCCCAAGATTTGTTAGTTTTGTTGCTCTTTCAAAGGACTGAATTTGATTTAGTTAATTTGAGGTATTGTTTGCATATTATCTTTATTTCCTCTCTAATCTTTACTTTTTCCTTCTTTCTGCTTACTTGAGGTGTAGTTTCTTCTATTTATTTCTTTGACATAAGGTGGAAGTTTAGGTAATTGTTTTGAGACGCTTCTTTTTTTTAATGTATACATAACAATTATAAATTTCCTTCTCAGCACCGCTTTAATAACATCCCATAAATTTTGACATGTTGTGTTTTCATTTTCATTAATCTCAAAGTATTTTCTATTTCCTTTTGGTGTCTTCTTTGATCCTGATTATATAGAAGTGCATTGTTTAATTTCTGCACACTTGTGAGTTTCTAAAATTTCTTTCAATTATTGATAAATTTCTAATTCAGTGCCACTGTGATAACATATTTTGTATTATTTCTGTCTTTTTAAATTTATAGAGGTCTGTGGCCTAGCAGTGGTTTATCCTCAAGAATGTTCCATATGCATTTGAGAAGAATGTATATTCTTGGATGAAGTGTTCTGTAAATGTCTGTAAGTTTATCCTGTTGGTTCATAGCATTGTTCAAGTCTTCTCTTTTGTTATTGTTGATCTTCTGCATAGTTGTCTTATCCATTATTGAAAGTGATATACTGAAGTCTCCAACCATCATTATTGTACTATTTCTCTATTTCTGTCAGTTTTTTTTTTCATGTATTTGGTACTTGTTATTAGGTGTATATATGTTTATAATTGTTTTATTTTTCTGACGGATTAGCCCTTTTATCATTATAGAATATCCCTGTTATCTCTACACCTATTTTTTAAAAAGTCTCCTTGGCCCACTCCAGCTTTCTTACAGTTGCTGTTTGCCTGGGATATATTTCCCATCCTTTTAATTTTAATCTATTTTTAATTAAATCTCAAGTGTATCTGCTATAGATAGCATAGTTGGATCTTGTACGGTTTTCAGTCTAACAATCTGTACTTTGATTGACTTGTTTAATCCATCTACATTTAATGTGAATACTGATACAGTTGGATTTATGAAGCCATTTTCTTTGTTTCTCATGTACTTTCCTTCCTCTTTTACTGACTCCTTTTTATTAAGTGGGTGTTTTTTTCAAAAAAAAGATTTTTTTATTTACTTATTCATGAGATACACAGAGAGAGGGAGAGAGAGGCAGAGAGAGAAGCAGGCTCCATGCAGGAAGCCCGACATGGGACTCCATCCTGGGACTCCAGGATCACGCCCTGGACTGAAGGCAGCACTAAACCACTGAGGCACCCAGGGATCCCCAAGTGGGTGTTTTCTATTCTAATTTTTAAGTTATTAAATGATTTTTCACTATGTTTCTGAGTTATTTTCTAAGTAGTTTTTTGTTTTGTTTTGTTTTGTTTTAATTCATGAGAGACACACACACACACACACACAGAGAGAGAGAGAGAGAGAGAGAGAGAGAGAGAGAGAGAGGCAGAGACACAGGCAGAGAGAGAAGCAGGCTCCATACAGGGAGCCCGACGTGGGACTCTATCCCCCATCTCCAGGATCACACCCTGGGCTGAAGGCGGCGCTAAGCGCTGAGCCACCTGGGCTGCCCTCTAAGTAGTTCTTTTGTCATTTTTCTGCAGGGCATTTGTAATTTTAAATTTTTTTTCTGTTTATCATATATAATATATATTTATATTATGTATCTATATAAATTTTTTATTGTGGTGCTATTCTCTGTGTCTCACGATTTTAATATTGAATTTTTTTTTATTTATTTATGATAGTCACAGAGAGATAGAGAGAGAGAGGCAGAGACATAGGCAGAGGGAGAAGCAGGTTCCATGCACCAGGAGCCTGACGTGGGATTCGATCCCGGGTCTCCAGGATCGCGCCCTGGGCCAAAGGCAAGCGCCAAACCGCTGCACCACCCAGGGATCCCTAATATTGAATTTTTATTAACTTTTTACTATGTATTCTTTCTACCGATTCTCATAGTTTTTTTTCCCCATTTGTACTTATTCATCTCTTGCTATAAGTTGCTCTTTTTTCTTATGAAATTATTTGTGCACATTCTTTAACACCTAGGTGAAATAGATTTCTCTAGAGATTTTTGTTTCTTTTTTCCAATTTTTGGGTCATCAAAAATCCAGGCCCACTATAAAATGAAATCATGGCTTGAGGTTATTTGGGGCCAAACGGTGAAGCAAATTTAGACTACAAATCACAGAAGGGTTAGCTCATGATTGCAAATTCCCCCAAAGAGTTGTTTGCTCCTTTTATTGCTATCCTAAATGCAAATTTCCTTAGAAAACTCTTGTATTAGAGGATAGAGCAAATTTTGTTTTGTTTCACTCTTACTCTGGGGATATGAATCTTGCTTTCTCAGATTTTCAGGGAGAGGATATCTCATATGCTTCCCACATGAGGCTCTAGTCATCATTTCCTGTCTCTTACAACTCATGAGCCTGAGAAAACGAAACCTAAGATTTTTACAGATTTGGCAAATGTCCTGAGGATAAAACCAAATTGTCTCTCTTGATTATTGTCCACATTTATATTTTTGGACTAAATGATTATTCTCTTGATTGTTGTACTATACTTTTAGATTTTTTTTTAATATCTTATCAATTGTTTTTAGTGGAAGAGGCAACTTAAAAATCTGGTCTACTATGTTACTGAACATGGAATCCCATTGACTATTTTTTCCACTCCTGCTCTTTGGCACCAGGACAGGTCCTGGAATAGAAGTCCACCTAAATTGGTGTTACTTTGTATCTTCTGTAAGCCAGTGCTGGTTTGTCAACTATTTGTTTTCAAGATATAGACGGGAATTGAAAGTGAGCGTAAATGACTAAAACCTCTACCTTATCTTGTCCCAGACTAGTAATTAGTCTAGTAACTAGTAAAAAAAGATGAGAATTTTTATTATGTCAGTGGATCTTCATGGACCAGAGATTGAGTAGTACAGTCTCTAAACTAGGACGGTTTTTTAGACTTTGGCTGGGCCACATAAAAACTCATGAATGTTATGGATACTCTCCCCAGAAATATGTGCACATAAAAAGAAATATAAAAGTTAATGTAAAGTATCAGTGTATAGATAGATCCTCTGAAATCTTATAGATCTTTTTTTTTTAATCCTAGGAACAAACAATGGCAAGGAGATGCTGAAGAATCATTTCATCGTTCAACTTATTTGCCACTCCACTTATTTCTGAGTATAAACTGGAGTAGACAAAAGGAGGACCCTATAATGGACTATCAAAGGAATAAGTTGAAAGATGTCATTTATTAGTCACTCATTCATCCAACCAAACCCAAGTGTCTACAATGTACCAGATCAAGTTCAAGATCTCAGATCATTGCTCCAAAAATTAAAATTTACCATTCTTTTTTTTTCTATCCTTTGCTCCAAGCTCCACCTGTACAATGTTCCCACATTAGAATTTCACACTTACAGAGTCTTGGTAGGAGGCAGACCCCACTCCCCTCTGTAAGAGAAGAAAACTCACTTTGCCAAACATTCCTGCAATCTGACAGAGCATGAGGTTCCAGCACTCAGGTGACCACATGCCAGCCTCTAACTCAGGACGTGGTGACTGGCTGGGATAGTGCAGAATGCATTTGGCACAGATGGTATGAATTGCAAAGTGTCATTCAGTTGCCAGGAGCAGCAGAGACAGCAATCTTTACCCCAAGATCCAGTGTCCTGCGTCACTGGAGTCAGTGTTGTGGACAATGGCATTTGTGCTCAGCTGCTCAGCAGCAGGGGCAGTGGTTTCTATGTGGGACCACACAGGGTGGGATTTTGGATTCTGTTCCTGGTTGTGTGGCTGCAAGTCTCTTCTATAGTGTTCCCTGAAATAAAACAAGGCATGTGTATGTCTGTATACATGTAATAAATATAAATAAATATCTCTGTATCTATCTGTCTACCTATGTGCTTCAATTGGAACAATTTGGAATTGATTGTTCACACCAGGAAGTGAAAGAGAAATTCATGTACGAGAATAGTCTCAGCCAGGATTCAGAGATTTTTTTTTCAGCTTTATTGAGATATAGTTAACATATAACATTGTACAAGTTTAAGATGTACAACCTGTTGATGATACTTATATATTGCAAAATGATTACCAATCCAGTGTTAGCTAACACCTGCAAGTTCCATAATTACCATTTCTTTTTTTGTGGCGAGTACATGTAAGATCCACTCTTAGCAACTCAGATTTTCTTTAAGTTGAGCTGATAATTACTTCCTAAATCTTCTTCCTGGCTCTCCTACACAATAGAGAAAACAACGTGCATGTCTCGTAGCATGTCTTGACTTTTCCTTTACAAGAAGAAAAAAAAAAAACATTTAAATGTGGACTTAAGTCCCTTCCCCACCCTGAGGGTTCTCTGATCACTGACTTTAATGGTTCCTGATCTGGTTGAGTGCCAAAATTGCTTGTGGTTTTTTTTTTTTTTTTTTTTAGATTTTGTTTATTTATTTGAGAGAGCGAGAGAGCACAAGCAGGGGGAGTGGCAGAGAGAGAGGGAGAAGGAGACTCCCTACTGAGCAGGGAGCTCAGGGCAGGGCTTGATCCCAGGACCCCCAGATCAAGACCTGACCTGAAGGCGGATGGTTAACCGGCTGAGCCACCCAGGTGCCTCATGCATGTGAGTTTATTACAAAATACTCAGGTCTCTTCCCAAATCTGCTGTCTTAGAACGTTGGGAACAGAGCTCAGGGATCACTTATTCATCAAGCCCTTCGTGTGAGGGGGATCCCTGGGTGGCGCAGCGGTTTGGCGCCTGCCTTTGGCCCAGGGCGCGATCCTGGAGACCCGGGATCGAATCCCACATCGTGCTCCCGGTGCATGGAGCCTGCTTCTCCCTCTGCCTGTGTCTCTGCCTCTCTCTCTCTCTCTCTCTCTCTCTCTCTCTCTCTCTCTCTCTGTCTCTCATGAATAAATAAATGAAATCTTAAAAAAAAAAAAAAAAAGCCCTCCGTGTGAGGCTGATGCTAGCCCCGTGGCACCTGGTCTCCGTTCTTCCTACTAAATGTGTGATCCGAAGACCAGCAGCAGCTCCAAGCTCCTTATAAACTGGCAACGGATGGATGGAAACAGACAATTCGCAGGACGGAAGGCTCTGGCCGTCGGGCACGGGGACGGGCGCCCGGGCACTCCAGTGAGCGGGGGACACCGGGAAAGGGCGCACCGAAGACGGGCGGAGCCAGAGGCGGAGGATGCCAAACCGGGGCGGGGGGGGGGGGGAGCTCGGGGGAGCCTGGGCCCCGCCCCGGTCACGTGCCACCGGCCGCCGCGGGTTGGGGGCGGGTTGGGGGCGGTGCGCGCCCCTCCCCCGCGTGGACCCCAGGGTCTGGTCGGCCCCGAGCCCGTCGCCCCTGCGTGCCCGCGGAGCCCCCGCGCCGACACCCCGCGCCGACACCCCGCGCCGACACCCCCGCCGCCTCTGCCCTCGGCCCTCGGCCCGCGCTGGTCGCCCGCGGGGAGCATGAGTGGCCGCGCCCGCGCCAGGGCGAGAGGCAGGGCCCCCGGCCCCAGCGCCACGGAGGTGGGGCGCCCCTCGGCCGCGCCCTCGGTGCGTAGGACTCGCGTCCCTCCGGGACACCACCTCGCTCCGCTCTCACCTCGCTCTCGCCTGTCTTCCCGCTGCACTCCGGGGCTTTCCGGGGTTTCTCACATTTCCCCGGGGGGCGGGGGGCGGGGGGCGGCTTCTCCGAGCTCGGATAGAGGCGAGGGCGTCCCTCCTGTCTGCCGGGCGGGCGGGGCTCAGGCACGCGCCTGGGTCCTGGGTCTCCTGGTGAGACTTGCTGTGCCTCAGTGGTACCATCGCAGGGCACGTGATTTAATGCGATTTGTCGCACTGATCTACACATAAGATAAGTAATCTCACACGCAGATGTGGTTTCGATTCACCTGCTATTTCTTTTGCCTTTTTTTTTTTTTTAAGATTTTATTTATTTATTATTCATGAGAGACAGAAAGAGAGAGAGAGAGGCAGAGACCCAGGCGGAGGGAGCCCGGCGTGGACTCGACCCTGAGCAGAAGGCAGACAACCGCTGAGCCACCCAGGTGCTCCCAGCCGCTGTTTCTTGACCCACCACTGTGGGCAGGGCCCCTGGCTAGGCTTAGGCAACTAGATTAAACTGGCTGGCAAACCTGCAACTTCTGAGCAGTGCTACTCCTGCCTATCAGTACTTGGAGCTTAGACCAAAAGTTCTCAAGTGAGGAGGCTGTTGTCATTGTGCCTTTAATTTCATGCCATTGTTTTCTCTCGACTTCATGCATTCTTTAGCAGGCCAATATAAACTACTTCCTGAACAAGAGGTAGATACTGTGAAAACAAAATATTAATGGTTCATTTGGCCTGTTTTGTGAACTAATTTTTGGACTCATTTATTCAGGAGAGTTATTACCTGAGCTGGTGACCCAGGTCCCCTGCGCTCAATATTTTCTTGCTACAGATGTGTTCACACTGGAGGCCCCCCCATCTGGAGTCTGGAGGCGGTGGAAGTATGAAGTCTGTGTTCATGTGTACGGCTACTGCCTTCCCTCTGAGCTCTCTGGATGTGAGACTCACAGCTCTACCTCTTTACACCTCCAGGTGTAATAACTGTATCTGGTTCATGGTCAGCATTAAAGTTTGAGAAGGGGGAAAAACTATAGCAGGTCCATATCCTTTTTTTTCTAGAATGGGCAATCTCTCTCATCATCACTTAAGCATTTTGTCTGTTAACATTGTTAGCTCAGGGTAATCTGATGACTTAGGACATGACACAGTTTTTATTTTGTATTATCCTTTTGGGTTATGATTTAACATCTTAAATCTGACCAAGGTGTTTTTCTTCCCCTTTTAGCCTACATCTGTTGATACTGGTGACAAGGAAGCATCCTCTTCCAGTGGCTTCGTGGGAACAAGCAGGGTTTCCCAGCAATGTAAGTGCAAGTCGGTCTGCTCCATTCACTTCTGTCCTATCTGAATGGAGCAGGAGTGATTGCTAAGCTTCACAGCAGCTGCTTTATAGCAACAGAGTCACTTCTAGAGCATCCCATATACCTTTTCTCAGAGGATCACCTGTGTTTGTTATGTTTCTTTGGGACTCCCAAACACAGTCTGCCACTGAATTTCCTGCTACTGCCTGGCAGTTGGGCTACTGGCAATAGGAGTACAGTCTTCTGATTTTTTCTGTTCACTGAATAATTTTGAAAAATATTAAAAAATTCTTTATGACATAGGAGTGTCAATGCCACTGCCCTGCAGGGATGGTAGAAACCTGGTACACACCAGCTTCCACTGCTCTCTTCTTTTTCCCCACCCATGGCAGACATCACCTTCTGATGGTAGCTCTTTTCACTGCAAGTCCACATTTGGACTCAGGATATTTATCAACATGCCACTGCAAGTAGCTGCTATCATGGTGTGGGTTGGCATGCCCCGTACCCTAGTTTGCTAGGCTGCCATGACAAAGTATCATAGACTAGGTGGCATAAACAATAGAAATGTGGTGTTTCATGATCCTGAAGGCTGGAGGTCCAAGATCAAGGTGTCAAGAGTTGGTTTCTTCTGAGGCCTCTCAACATGGCTTGTAGATCACTGCCTTCTTTCCGTGTCTTCCCATGGTCTTCCCTCCGTACTTGTAACGTCATCTCTTCTTTTTTTTTTTAATTTTTATTTATTTATTTATGATAGTCACGGAGAGAGAGAGAGAGAGAGAGAGAGAGAGAGAGAGGTAGAGACACAGGCAGAGGGAGAAGCAGGCTCCATGCACCGGGAGCCCAATGTGGGATTCGATCCCGGGTCTCCAGGATCGCGCCCTGGGCCAAAGGCAGGCGCCAAACCACAGCGCCACCCAGGGATCCCACGTCATCTCTTCTTATAAGGACACAGTCATATTGGATTAGGGGCTCATGCAAATGACATCATTTTAGCTTAGTTACCTTATTAAAGATCTCATCTCCAAGTAGTTATATTCTGAGATATCAGGGGTTAGATCTTCAATGTAGAGTTTACCCCATAACCACTGCTGAAACCTGTTAGGCATCTTCCTTGCGCTATGATGTTAAATGATTGCTAATAAACATATAACTTCTACACACTTAGGTTCTCCCAGACTCTGTGGATCATCACTTTCTCCACCATCAACTGCTTGGCTCTTATTCTCCACTGGGGTTCTTTTAGCTCTACACAAGTACCCTCTGTGATCTGAGCTCACAGGAGTATATATGGTCCTTCAGAAGACCTGTTCTTAGGGGCCATGCATCAGGTCCAGCACTACTGCTACCATTCAAATCCTGTTCCAGCTTCTCTTGGGACTTTTTTTTTCTATGTCTGCTGCACATTCTTATAACTAGTAATGGTTGGGGATTGATTTTTTTTAATTGTAGTAAAATATACATAATGTAATATTTACCATCTTAACCATTTTCAATTGTATACTCTACTGGCATTAAGGACATTCACATTATTGTTCAACCATCACTACCATCATGTCTAGGACTTTTTTTGTCTTACAAAACTGAAACCCTATACTCAGTAGACAGTAACTCCCCATTTCCTCTTCCCTCTAACCCTTGGCAGTTACCATCTTTTTTAAAATTTTTTTTCTTTTTTAAAGATTTTATTTGAGAGAGAGCCAGTGAGAGAGAGAGAGAGAGAGAGAGAGAGAGAGAGAGCATGCACGCACACAAGCAGGGGGAAAGGGCAGAAGGAGAGGAAGAAGCAGATTCCCTGCTGATCGGGGAGCCCAGCCTGGGGCCTGACACAGGGCTCTATCC